CTTTCCGCTGCTTTTCTGTGCGTATTTAATTTTTGGACTAAAATGGCCAGGAATAGTTTCCCCTTTTTAATCGCGGGGGTATTGCCATTTATGCGCTATTGGGTGTGTTTAGCTCGCAAGGGAATGGGTGTCTCATCCTTGCGCTCCCTATGTCAGAAGTGGGAATGACTGCCCTTTTCTTTAAAGATGCTCCTTTAACCCCTGTTCTAGCGAAAAGTTGTGATGAGGGAGTGGGGCTAGGTTTTAGTATATTTTTTTTAAATTTAACTTTCCTTCATACTTCTGTTAATGATAAATGCAATTATATAAACTCCCCATTTCTGCTCCAGAGCTGTCTAAGCTCCAGAGGAAGACATGGTGGTGGTGGGGAAAGTAGAAGAGTGTATGTTATAGCATTTACTGGAGCAAATAGCTGCAGCTTGAGTTATGCGGAGGAAGTGAGCCTCTTCAGAGAAGAGCTGTGCTTGCATGTGTATTTTGCTGTTTGTAAAGGGAGGTGTTCTCTATTTAACTGCTATCTAATGTACACCTGAAGTTTTGAAAGCCTGTTGTGTAATTCTGAGCAGTTATGTTTGTATCAGGTGCCTGAAGGAGCTGATCTTGCCGTCACGAGTTGTTTGGGTTTTCCAGCAAGTTCAGTAGTTGCAGGATTGGGTCTTGGGGTGGTCGAACTGGAGTGCAAGTCTGTCAGCATGAGAACCTCAGAAATGCACTGTTCAGCACTTCTTAACATGCTTGTTACCTCCTTGTCACATGCAAGTTGCAGCGGGAGGGGAAGTTGGAAATAAAAGGTGTGCAATTTAGAAACAGGACTTTAATGTGTGGCTGGCATAAGTCTTTGTTTTGTAACTGTATGTTCTTTTTTCAGCTTCCCTTCCCTTTTCCCCTGGACAAAATAAAGCTGACATGTTGATGTACCCAGCAAGTTTGGAGACCTTTTCAGAGCACTACTGAAAATCGGTAGTGTCTCAGCAGGGCTACTGGCCTTACTGGCTCAGGAAGTCCCATGTCCTTGAGTCATCTCATGGCTGGGGTATTTGTGTCATGCAGGAGCTCTGGGCAACTGAGTGTGTTTGGTTCTCAGGCTGTGCTCTGGGCAAGCTGTGTATTCCAGTCTGTCTCGGTAACAGGAGTATAGGAACTTGTGTTTTAAGTGAAATACAGGGAGTGAAGCTGAAGGAAACTGGGAAGAGGAAGACTTGTCAGAAAACTGTTTTACTGTTTGTATATAACATGATAAGTAAGCAAATTTGGTCTTCGGTTTTTGAGGTTTGATAGGAATGGTGGATGGAACCAGTGATCCTAGCAAGGTTCTTAGACTTCATTATCTAAATTAGCATAGAGGAATAGATTTTATTTTTTGTTTTGTTTCTGTTTTTGTTCTGATATTGGGAATATTCTAGAGCAAAAATAGCTCCATGTGGGGAGCTCTTACTACACAATAGTTTCCCAGAGCGAACCAGTCAATCCCTGTGTAGAACAACTGTTACGAGAATTTTTTTGAGGCAGATCTCAAACTGTCCTCTCCCCAGCATCAGTGTGTCTCTGATTTTGTGAGTATAAGTCACCCTTTGTAATCTGCATCATTTCCACTCCATCACAGAATCACTGAATCAACCAGGTTGGGAAAGACCTTCAAGATCACCGTGTCCAACCATTACACCAGGACTGCCAAGTCCACCTCCAAAATAAGTTACTAACATTATAATGTCCAAGTCATATCATCGGTTAATTCCTTCCATTTGAGCCATAATATGAACATTTGCATTAACCTATTTGAACTTTGGGATATTAAGTGCACAGAAGTAGTTACATGTTCAATAGAAGTCCATTTCCAATAGTGTTAGTTAATAAATAACTGTGCTTTCCAAACTTGTTTTCATCCAGGTTAAAGAAGAAGTTGAAAGAATTCAATGCTTGCTATAATTCACAACTGGCCATATGTGATCTTTGCATTTAGGGTTCTTCACTGAATATTTCTTATAAACAGTCTTTTGTCAGTTGCAGAAGAGTTGTATTTCCATTTGTATTGTGATTAGTACTGTGTACAACATGACTGGCATTTATGAATCGAAGTCCTGTTTCTGCAGATGTGCACCTCAGCAGCCTGACAAACTTGTGTAGCTCCAAGTGTTGCAGTGTCTGGATCACAAAACCTGTCTTTGGGGTGGCTGGACACTTGAGCTGTCCCACTCAGGCCCTTAGAAAGCCACAAAGCAGTTACTCCATCCAGGAAGCTGTGCTTATCATTCTGTGTGCTTCTCTTTCTCAATGCAGGCGCTTTGACTATCGTCCAAAACCTGATCCTTACTGCCAAGCTCGTTATACCTTCTGTCCCACTGGCTCTGCCATTCCAGTTATGAAAAAAGAGGACGTCATTGAAGTGTATCGATTACAGGCTCCAGTATGGGAATTCAAATATGGGGACCTACTAGGACATTTGGTACGGTGATGGTTCTGTTTAACAAAGTTGTAGCGGCACATTCAGCTGAGTTCAACAGCAGGTGTCAAGAATGGGAGCTGTAAGGTTGAGATGTGTTTGCATGGAAAAGCATTGGAGCACTCAAGCTCAGCTATCTATAGGAAGGATACCCAAAAAGCTGTTTCAAACAGAAGTTACAGAATTTAGCTCAGCTAAAGAAAAGAGCATGACCAGCACTGTTGGTGGGTTTGAATGTGTTCCCCTATGGAGCTTTGTCAGTGTTTTATATACCCACATCGTTACATTTGGGGTTTTTTTTCTGCACTAGAATTGAATCAAGAAAATACATTCATTTATACCCTTGTATCAGATGAAGTGCTTCCTTAGTGTATTAACTTTTCTGTTTTTAAAAACTTGCATACTTGCATGAACATGGATATCTGTCAGGAGTGGACAGCTGGCTGGTGAGAATTGTGGATCGTGGGGAGTTGGTTGCTTTCATGGATCTGTCTTGAATGTTATGATCAGTATTTAAGACTAATCATTAGACTTTATTTAAAACTGATCACAGACTTTCATATTTGCATGACTCCATGAATGGAGACTTTAATTAAAGAATCTCAACTTCAGTCATATAATTCAGTAGCATAATTAAGCTTCAAAGCACAATCCCTAGTGAATAAACTTTAGTGAACATGAAATACCAACATCAAAACCAAGCACATAGTCAAAAATGGAAATAGCTTCAAATATCACAGTTGTTAAATTAAGGTTGGATTGATTTATTTACAGCTTTTAAAAGAAATATTTATCTCATTCCTCTTGTGGCTTTAATTACTAAGATCTGGTTTTGGTAACTCTGTTCTGGTCTGTATTTCTTTGATACCCGTGTGAGACTGATTCAAAAGGAAACTTGAATTTTGAAGATGAGCTCTCACTGAGTATCTGGAGGCAGAACTCATACTGGATGGATAGACAACCGCTGAGACAGTGTGATAAAAGTATGTGTGTGATACAATCCAGTATGTTGTGTATCAGTGCTGCTGAATCCAAGGTGTTACAGGAACCTCTTCCCCTCTTCTAAATCTGTGACACAGCAGCTCCCAAGCATCTTATTTTCTGTACAGCTCAAGCTGAAGTAGTTTTTATGTTAAAGTTCTGGGGCTTTGGTGGTTTTTTTCTTTTCCAGAAAATTATGCATGATGCTGTGGGTTTCAAGAGCTCTCTAACAGGCAAAAACTATACAATGGAGTGGTATGAACTCTTCCAACTTGGGAACTGCACATTTCCACATCTCCGGCCTGGCATGGATGCACCATTCTGGTGTAACCAGGGTGCTGCCTGCTTTTATGAAGGAATAGATGATGCACACTGGAAGGAAAATGGAACTTTAGTTCTTGTGACCACAATATCAGGTAAGTTTCAGATGCTTTGGGTAGTTCTAATATAAAATATAGTCAGCCTTGTCTTCATGTAAAGCAGTATCTTTTAATTTATGTTTTGTAGGTTATTCACAATGTTAGTCACTGGTACTAATTTCAAACTGAAATAGTATTTCTGCATTCTATACAGAAAGTGGCCTGAGGCTGCTGCCTTTTGAACAAAACACCCTGAAGAGTTGTTAAATGAGAGTCATTTGGCGTTGCTGTACAAAAACATTGAGTCTCTTGAGTGTAAAAATAGAAAACAGCTTCTACAGAACCATTATGGACTTGTTTCACATGATTTCATCAAAACAAAACCTTCTATTGTGAAGTGACAGATGACTGCTGAGATAGAAAAACTGGTGGAAATGTGTAAATTACTGGGCAAACAAATAAGGCATATTTAGAAATCATCTCAGAAATATAAAGAATACTAATCTCTTCTTTCCATCTCCCCCATTATGTGTTATAAAAACTGTGCAAATGTCCCCAGTAATAGCTCTCTGTCATATGGTGTAGAACAAAACCAAGGGTTACACCTCTAAATAAGTGGATGATCACCAGAATAGCTTCTTTGTGCATACCAAACACTGGAATCCTAAAATGAAAAGGTCCTTTAAATAAATCTGGCTGATTACTGCAGTAATACAGTGAATGACTTACAAACAAAGCCCACTGAGGACTTGGAGAGTTGCAAATTTTGTGACCAAAGTGACTTACTCTGTGAAGTTAGCTGTGTACAGGGCACAGTGGAAAGTTACAGATAGTGTGATGTGGTGCTTTATGTTTGCCTGCATCCCCCTTCAGCAACTTTGCTGGACTTGGTCTCTAGATGATCTATCCAGTGCCAAAAGTTACTGTGAAAGAGGATGAATGGGTGCGAGCACAGATGAGATGCTGGAGCAGGTTGCCCAGACAACTTATGGATGCCCCATCCCTGGCAGTGTTCAAGGCCAGGTTGGACGGGGCTTTGAGCAACCTGGTCTAGTGGAAGGTGTCCCTGCCCATGGCAGAGAGGTTGGAACTAGATGATCTTAAGTTCCCTTCCAACCCAAACCATTCTGTGATTCTGTGAACATGAGCTGAACTTGCTTCCTTCAGAGAGCAGGCAAAAAACATCCCATTTTGTGGGAGAAGGCTTTAACGTATGAAACAGCTGGTCCTTTTTGCCTTTGTGAGATCCCACATTGCTCTTTGTCAGCAGACCGCAGTGAAGCAATCTCATTTTCTCTTAAAGCCCACTGGCTGTGTGAATGTTACTTAGGGGTATGTTTCTTCTGTGAAATAGGGCAGGATTAGCCAAAGTCAGGATTAGTCAAAGGGCTCAGCTGAGGTGCAGTGCTAGGACTGCAGGAAAAACAAAAGAAGGAAAATAAGCCCTGTGCTTCAGCTGTATTTTGGAGCAGAGGCTGGTGCGTCGCCCATAGCGAGCTACCAGAGAGATGAGTTAGAGATGTCTTCCTCATTCCAGTTGTGAAATCACCATCACCAGAGTGCTCCAAACATGTATTCTAAATTAAGAAATAGTCCTCAAGGGCTTTAAGTTTACTGGTCTTCACATCCCACTCATCATTTGGCTTTTAGTTCAACTTTGCTGTCTGAGGAGCTGCTAAAACAGCAGGTATCCCAGTCTAGGGTTTCTCTTGAGACATGAAACTTCTGCCCTGAGGATCTTTAAGATCCCTTCCAACCCAATCTATGAATTTCTGAATTCAGGTAAAACTTCAGGAAGTGCAGCAACGCCTGTTGTGCTGGTGAGCACTTTGTCAGCATTTCTGATAGATTGTGCCACCTGGACTGCTTGTCTGCATGGATCAAACAAAATCAGAAGTGTCATGGTTCCTTGATGTTCGGATGCTTTGGCATAGTAGCAGGAAATGGGGCAGAAAAAGGAATTACGGTTTAAATAACTTACATGTAAATACAGCTTTTTCAGCTGGGTATTGCTTCTCCCTCCAACCTAAGCCTTGTGTCCTTGTATGGTCAGGTAGCGTTGCAGGTAAACTTCTGCAGGGAAGGGAGGTGAACCTTGAAATAGATGGGAAATATTGTGAGTCATATATTTGTTACTTTGTCTCTGTAATAGTTACTTTCCTCTCTTACAGGAACCATGTTTAATGAAATGGCAAAATGGGTAAGACACGACAATGAGACTGGCATTTACTATGAGACCTGGACAGTTCAGGCAAGTCCTGACAAACAGTCAGTAGTGTGGTTTGATGCTTATGAATGCTCTAAATTTATACTGAGAACATACCAGAAGCTGGCTGACTTGGGAGCTGTCTTTAAGAAGATACAAACAAACTATACAAGCATAATTTTATTCAGTGGCGAGCCTGTTTATCTGGGAAATGAAACATCTATTTTTGGACCACAAGGGAACAAGACATTGGCAGCAGCTGTAAGGGACTTCTACTACCCTTTCAAACCTCATCGGACAGTCAGGGAGTTTTTTGTGGATCTTCTAAAAATTATTGATCGTGTCATCTTGAATCATCAGTTTTACCTCTTCTACAACTTGGAATACTGGTTTTTACCTATGAAGTTCCCTTATCTCAAAATAATTTATGAAGAGGTTCCATTACCTACTGGAAACAAAACATCCTTTGGCGTGTAATGGCTTACTGAAGAACCAAACTTGCCCTTATGTCAGAATATTCATAAGGATTTGGGACTGCTGCCATGACGGTGTTAGCGTTTCACTGGCAACTGTAAAAGTTGTGTTGGGAAGGCTTTGCTAGATCACATGAAAGACTTTGCCTTTTTTTTACTTACTACCTGTATAGCTTCAGTGTCTCTAACATGCCTGGCTTCTGCGTGACCTGTCTGAAGGTGGGCCAGTGCAGCTGCTCTTGGCTAGACTGCAGTGCCAGAGGGCGTGTAGAAGGCAGTCTGCCTGCTCTGGTCTCCGCATAGATGGCCATGTGGCCACAGATAGCACCTGGCCACCAACATGGTGGGACACAAGAATTACAAGGACCTTTTGGTCTGACCAGCTCGGCTAATCTGTGTGTTGGAGCTGACAAACCTGAGTGCCTGGATGTGCCCAGTTCCCTCAACATGTGCCTTACGTTGATGTTTCTGTATTTCTTGGGTTTGTACAACTGGGACCTATGAACTGTTCTTTTATTTGTGACATAGGTGTTCATCAGGGTGGGAAGGGGCAGAATCTACTAGAAGATGGCATGGGTGGTATCTTTTCCTCACTTTGCTTCCTTCACCTGCATTGTGAACACAATACAGATGGCTCTTCACAAGATTTGTGTGTGTTTTCTAGCACAGGTGGAAGGCAAACAGCCTGTTCTGGTGTTGGCATTGATGCATAACTGCAGTATTATAGCAGTCTCCTGCCTTGAAGTCTGCTCAAGGTTTTGATTAGATCAGTTTCATAGAAGTCATGTTTATATTGCTTTTAAATGTCTTTTAACAGCATTTACTATGAAAGAAGCAGTGGCAGTTTGTGGGGTGTTAGAGTTAAAAATCCACACTGGTCACAGATTTGCCTGTGAGAAGCGGGTACAGGCTCTGGCAGTGCTGTGTGCAGTCATGGTGCTGTGCTGGCTGTGGTGTCCACGAGTCCTGTGCCAGGTGACCCCTGGAGCAGCTTGGTAACGGGTTTCCTTTAAACCCAGTTGACCAAAGCAAAGGGAACACTGGCTTTCTGGAGAGCAGGGAGGTGCCTGTACTCTAAACATACCCCTGAAGCAGCATAATCCTCTCCAAGTGTACACTGCTTGCTTTATCTTTTTAACTAGCTGCAGAATGAGCAGTGCTGCTGCGGAGGTTATTGCTGCATCATGGCTAAGCAGTGACACAGGAGCCCAGCTCTGCAGTTTCAGTTGGCTTGGGCCAAGTTAAGAATTTGGTGCAGGCAAAGAGGGGAATACACAGTGATTTGATTCAAATCATAAGAATGGCAGAAAGTTAACCTTGTGTTAAGAAGTCACTAAAATTAATTAGTTGAATTGCATTATCATGTAATGGGATGAACATGAGAGTGCGAGATGAATGAGGTGATCAGAGTACCTCTGTGCTGCGGGGGAAAGCTGCTTATTAGTTTCACTTATGTTAAACTTCATCTTCTGCCTCACCTTGAAAGACTTTACTCTGCAGCCAAAGACACCAGCTCTTGCTTTAACCAGCTGAGAGACTCTTGTGAGGAATTTCCTAACTGATACTATGCCATCTAACATAATACTATCAAAATGGCTGTGAACAGTTAGAGCAAAGCATCCTGAAACAATTTGACTTGGAGGGCTCATACCACCTCTGAGAGTCAAAATCCCTTGAAGGGCTTGATGCTACAGGCCATGGGGAAGGGACTGTTCTAAAGCCTGTCTCTCGTCTGCTGCATGTAACAAAGGCTGTTACAGAGTTCGAAGAACAGCTTTTGGGTGCCTGAATCTCAAAGGGAAGAAAGAAGCTGGCCATCAGGTAGGCCTACAGGACCTTCAGTTCAGATACTCTTGCTGTCAGAGATTTCAGCTACAGGATTGGGAAATTGACTGTTTCCCTCTTTCCCCCACACTCCAAACACTCAAGTTTGTTTGGGGGAGGATTCGCGTGGCACTTTCTCTCTTAAATCCTGTTTCTTGAGGATAAGGCAGCAAAATGGGTCTGATGCTACATCCACCAAAGTTCTTGTCTCAATAGTGTTTAAATCTGGCTTTGAGATCCAGGCTGCCTGGTTGCACATCACGCAGTTCTTTCTTACAAACCATAAAAGACTGGTCAGCAGATGAGGTATGATACCAGGTATCACAACAGTCTCTCTCCATGTTCATGTAACAAACCGTGACAGCTGATCTTCATGCAAGAGCTTCATAAAATGGGAGACTATGCATTTTGTGTCATGTTGCAAGACCAGAAGGAGCAGATATTTTCCTGTGAAAGGTCAAGAGCTGTCCCAGTGGCTCAGCATTTTGCCAGAATTGCCATCTTACAAAACCCTGGGTGGAGAGCGGAGCAGAAAGCACACTGCAGTCTCCATTTCAAAGCATGCGAACAACAACGGCCAGCAGTGGGTGTGATCCTACAAGAAAAACCTAACAAAAGGGAGCAGTAGATGAACATACACAACATCAGAGGTTAATTGTGGTCTCATTGTCCTAGCTTTGATGCTATTAAACTTTGATCACACCTCCAAGGAATTTATTTCTACAGCACCTGTATTTTAGGAGGATTAATTTAGTTTGTAGTCTGAGCTACAGACACTGAAGTTCTGAGTCCCTTTAAGACTTCGCTAATTTCCTCATAAATCAATGCTCCAGCAGCAGCAGCCACACTTGTGTTTACCATTGTGTGTGCAACCCACTAGACCAGCCAGAGGTGAAGACAGATCTCTGAAGTAACATGACAAATTCTAGGTTTATAGTCAGGCTTACTCCAAATTCTGAAGAGGCCACATTGAACCCTACTTTAAGTTCACAGAAAATTAATTTGGACCACAGCAAAATTTTACCAATGATTGGGATATATGGAGCTAATGTATACCTATGTAGTCACATCAGTTTATGTGAGTATTGGTGAAAGTTTCTGACTGGGAGGAAGGAAAAAAAAAAAAAAAAAAGAGAAAAATTCCTACACCCTCCTCTCCCTTAAATTCTCAAGTTTGTAGCTTTAGGTAAACTACAGGAAATGACAAAGTTAATGTAAACAGCTGCTCTTAAATCACTCACCTTTTCACTTTTGATCTACTATCTCATGGAGCATGACTAGTCAGGATTACCCCAGCTGCTTTGCATCAACAGCTTTCAAGAGTGATTGTGTATCAAAAACCTGAAGCGATGTAGCACTTGCATCAGGGGTAAGGTTTGTGACTGCACATATTAACAGCAAAACCAGACAACCAAGCCAATACTGGATTGCCTGCTGAAAACAAGAAGAAATAAACTTGAGCCCAGGGAAAATTATTTTATACAGCTGTAAGACACTTGTGTTCATGTTCCTAGTGAACATCATGACAGTCTGTGGTACTCAGGTTACTAATTATGTCATGGTTTTTTACTTATTTTTTTATTATTTGTTCCAACATAAGAATTGGCAAAATAAGAATTGTACAAGATTGGCAAAAAACGAGAACTGTAGCTTTTCCTGAAGCCACTTACCACGTAAGCTTGGCCTGGGAAGTTTGTTTCATTGCTGCACTATTTGAGCTAAGGATGCTGTAATAAAAAAGCTGCTGACCTTCTGTGGAAGGGAGAGATCCAACAGAGGCTTCTCTGTGGGAAGCAGAGTGTTGGATTTCAGAGATGTCAATTCCAAAGCGGGGGAACACCGGCGCGAACGCTGTGCCTTGCCTCTCAGTTATTCCCACTACCACAATAGTAAGCAACAGGCTTGCCTTGCTGACACTGGGACACCGGCTGTCAAGGTTCAGAGAGGTTTTGGCTGCATTATGGGCAAGATTACTTCACACATTCATTTACTTCACACATTCATTTACTGATTTAGCAATTCCTAGTGTTTTACTCCACCTTTACCATGCAGGCAAACCCAGGAGTCAGAGTATAAAAAACACTGAGCTTTTTTACTGTTATGGACTAAATATATTGACACCTTTTATACAAATAAAAGCAAATTATAGTATTACAATGATTTAACAAATTCTAATACAAAAAAATGCGTTATTTCAGAAAATGCAATTTTTAAATCAAATCTCTAAAGAAACATACAACTCCCTTATAAAGATGTCCAGCCCACTGAGCACTGCTTGCTCAAAATAGTTACGAACTTAAATACGCTCTTAAGTGTATTACACTTAAACTATACATTTGGATGAACCTTCCCAAGTCAGAAATGAAGAAAATCTACTTATATTGAGGAGTAGCTGTACCGCTCACATGAGAAGAGGCTGCCTGCTAAGCTGAGCCTGGCCCATTGCCCAAGCAACTCTGCCTTGCTGATGACTTCCAAACATGTTCAGCAGCCACATGAAGACTTTAGTGTTACCCATCAATAATGGAGGAGAGAAAATAACATAACTGGCGGTGGTAAGAAATGAAGTCACAAGCCACATCCAGATCACAGGCAATACACTGCCTACAGCACTTACAGACTAAAAACTTTCTTTAATAAAACTGATGTACCGAATATTCAAAACAAGGTTTTGCCTATTGCTCTACTCCACGCAAGTTTACTGCTGTTAGCTTTTTAAATATGAAGTGATCGAGCTAGCTGAATTCAAGGTATACAAAATGATCATCTATCAAACATTCACTTTATACATAAATGTTTCCGAAACAGATTTACAGTATACAATTAGTTTATACAGCTTAAGCAACTGTTACAATGTCATTTCTCTCAAATTGACAGCAGCCAAAAGGTCTAAGGTTTTGTTAGAAGATTCTTGGTCATCACTTACTTAAATTTTAACCTTCACATCTCATGCTTTTCACATCCACATCATCACATTTAACACTTCAGGGTTCACATAATAAACTACACCTTATTCCATCTGACCCTATGCTGCAAAACTGGTTAATGGGCAAGAAAAGCTCATTAACTCCAATGTGGTTTAAATACAATGTATCTACATTTTTCCCCAGAATGCTTTCGTTTCCTGAGCTAGACATAAAATACCTTAAAACAGGTTTAGACACAGATCTGAGGCCCCATAAGCAAACTACATTAAAACGCATAGAGGGTAAGAAAAACCACACCACTTCTGGTAGCTCACGCTACTATTGGTTTGCACTCCAAATACATTTTAGATGGATCTAATAATCCACTGAATAAGGTAACAAACTTAATATTTTAGTTGTCTAAACTATGTTATTGTGTATTGCTCTTGCCTTTTATATATAAAAGAATTTATTATTTCACAGCCCACTAAATATGCCTCATCATCTCAATCTTGCCATCTAGATGCCTGGGTTTAGAACTGGTGTCTGTAGTCTGCGCCAGAAGCATGCAATTTATGCGTGGCTTTGTTTTGGTTTTAAGATCAGATCTCATTCTGTTCAATACGAGTATCTAAATGAAAGAACAGCCTATTAAAACTGATATTTTGCAGGTACATTTCCATATTTTAAATACATTTTTTATTTCCATTAAAGTTTGAGGTCACTATCAATGACAAACAACAAATCTAGAACAGAAAACGGATTTTCAGTTGGATAAAAAGGGGGTTTGAAGCTATCCACGATTTCTGGTTTTGAATCTGGATCTCATAAATAATTCTGAGTGAAAAATTAATTTTCTAATCAAACCATGAAGTAACTTACAGTAAAAACCGTATTATTAAATAAGCTTATACAGCAAATTGCAATATGGTAAGCTTGGGTTTAAGGTGGTATTCCATCTGCCCTGAAGTCTTTACCATGAAGGACTTTACCATGTGGGCATCATGTCCGGGAACCAGACTCTACCAAGATGCTTTGAAACTTCCCAGTGAATCTGCTCTAAACTGTATTTCTGATCAGGGATCAAAACTTCCTCCATAATGGAAAGCTGCGAGAGACGACCACCACACATCTTCACAAACTCAACAAAGGCACTGCAAGAGACTTCACATTCTCCGAGGCCAACGGCTGACAGATACTTGCAACGTTCTGCAATACGGATCAGCTCCTCATCCAGTGGCCGTAATCCGTTGGCGCACACAACCAGTTCAACCAACCGAGGACAAGTCATCCCAACGCGGCCAAGTACGTCTTTGCTTACCGATCTTCCAAAGTAAAGGTGAGTGACGGGTATTTCGTAACGAAAGAACGGGTCAAACTCTTCTTCGTACAAGAAAAAGTACATGACTAAATTTACTTTAGGAGAATGCTTGATGAAAGCGTCCCAGCTGCTCTTCTGAATCGTGTGGAACTGAGTCTGTCCGGGGTTCTCACTGACAACATCAATGCGCAAGTGTTCCAACCTGACGTGTTTTTCCGAAGACAAAGCAAGCAGAAGCTCATCGCTCAGCAGGTGGTAATTCAGCGCCAGCTCACGTAAGCCATGACACTGGTCAGCCACGCAAAGGATACCTGAGAAAAGAGAACACAGAATCATTGAATTGTCTGGGTTGGAAAGGACCTTAAGACCTGTGGGAGTGGATTCTCAGATGACAAACACAGAAATAGCATACTCTGACTGTTCTGCCCTTTGGTAAGGGCACATATAGTCATATACTTTTATTTTTGTAAAAGAGGCTTACTCATAATTCCTTAGCCTGCTCTGGAAGAACTGCTGTCCCCTCCTCTGGCTGACAAAGCAACCATGAATGAGATCTGTCATCTGAGGGAAGCAAATGGAAAATGAATGCTAGCTATTTCATTATAGGTACAAGTTGCTGCTGTCAGTATTTGTTCTTTCTAACAAAGTATTAATATTTAAATTTGGAAAAGCAACAGCAAGAGGAAAATAGAAGGAAAAAACACTAAAAATTAGAAGCAGTAACTCATAGAACAGCAATTTCCAGACTCTCCCTTTCACGAATCAATATAACGGGCTGCTCATGGCAGAGATATTAACAAAAAGAATTCAGTTCAGCCTTTAGGGTTCCCACTCATCCTATCTGCAGATACAAGCAATGGTACCATGCTGGTTAACAGTACTAAAATAAACCCAAAAGTACTAAAAAACATGCAGTCCTCCTTCCATGTGACTCAGAAAACTGCATGAAATTTGGGATATGGTCTTTCCATTAACAGAAGAGATGGGAACATCACATTTAATACGGAGCTGAAAAGCTTGAGCTCAACACACTACAGCTTTGAAGCAATGGGAAGAAACACACAAAGACAGCAGTTATTTTAAGATCCAGTTATTAAACTCAAAAGAGAAGCCTATACTGAGCCTAAAAACACTTTCTGAAATAAATTACTGTAAAAATACTGCATGACCGTGTACTCCAAAGAAGTACGTATTTTCCACCTGAGGATCTGCAAGAACACATTCATCAGAAGCTCTTTTAACTGTATAGAATACTGTCAAATACAAAAAGTTTGTTACATAAATTAAAAAAAAAAAAAAAAGGCAGAATTCAGATAAACAGAATTTTAACCCAACTCTTACTGCAACTATTTCTTATAAAAAGAATTTCTATATGTAACAGTACTCATCATTTCATTTGGGAAGGAAAGGGTGGGATCCAAGATGAAGAGAAAATACGGATTTTTAGGTTTTTTTTTTAAGATTGGAGTACAAAATTAAAACTAAGCTAACTATAAACTTGTGTGTACCTTCTGCACATTCCAGAGATAATTTCCTGGCCTGAAATAATGAAGTTATTCTAACAGCAGTACTCCCAGAAAAGCTATTCTGACCACTGCCTTTAAGTGAACTCAAGCATGCTGCTTCACGATACCTAGAGCTGTTCGCACATGAAATATTTTAAACAGTTTCAAGATCCACATATATTGTCACATCACTGACTAATGCAATGCAAAAATGGAAGAACGGGGGTTCAACTTGCTGTGACTTTTGATGGGTCAAAGACTGGATATCCACATAACATTCTGTCAATGAAGTTACATATCCTGCACATAGAACTGACCATGCACTCAGTGTAGACAGTTACTCGAGGGCCTGCCTGGAGCCCACGCTGTTCACAGAGCATCCCTCAGCCAGCACTGCCTAAACCTGTGTGTCACTGAGAGGTAAATCGCTCCAATACCATACAGCACGGATTTGCATCAAAGAAATCCCTCTACTGAACTGCTGATGCAGACCCACCCAACAGCTACTCTTCTCCCCTACTCCCCCATCCAAAAAGAAGCAACTCCCTGCCCCCAAAGCACAGCAGAACGGCTTTCGATTCACCCCGTTCCAACAGCTAGTATTTCAGGTAATAAACAACAGCATATCAATGTGGATTTAAAAATTAACATTATTTTTTTTTTTACAAGTTACTATTGCAGTTCTAATGCAAATTAAACTTCAGAGAAGAAACAGCAAACAGCAGAAACTTCAGATATGCTCACAAAAATTAGAAATACATCACTGCCTTTGTTTCACCAGCTCAAACCCAAACATCCCTCTTTGTACAGTAACTCAGGGATTATTCAGAGCATCCTTTGGAAGAAATTAACAGCTTGGTATCAATCTTTCTCCTTTATCCCTGTAGTACTGGAGTCTCCCTTGCACTACCTTGCATTACTCTTCTGTCCTTCAGTAACAAATTTCTTGAGAGCTAATCCAGTAATGAGGGACTCTTCATTAGGGACTCCAGTGGTAGGACAAGGGGTAATGGGTTTAAACTTAAACAGGGGAAGTTTAGATTAGCTATAGGAAGAAGTTCTTCACAGTGAGGGTGGTGAGGCACTGGAATGGGTTGCCCAAGGAAGTTGTGAATGCTCCAACCCTGGAGGTGTTCAAGGCCAGGCTGGACAGAGCCTTGGGTGACATAGTTTAGTGTGTGGTGTCCCTGCTCATGGCAGGGGGGTTGGAACTAGATGATCTTAAGGTCCTTTCCAACCCTAACTATTCTATGATTCTATATTCCACCACACCCTAGCCTGCAATCTGAAGGCACGTTATACCATTTGAAGTGCATCTGTAAGTAATTAGTTTTGCATAACTCATGTCCCTTCTGGTTCAATTAATGTTTTTCCACATTTATGGCAGCCTACTAATTATAATATTCCCCACAGAAAAAAATCCAGGTAAGTCTTGGTGCTCAAAGTTTTTAATTTTCCTTCAAGAGGTGTCCAAGCCCAAGGAACTGACTCACTCTGTGCAGCTACAAATTACTGCTGGAGCCTCTTCCCCTTGACAGACACATTACAGCTCCTGGACTTCTCAGACACATGGATTCTCAAACAAAATTTTAAATCAGAAGAGGCAGTCACTCAAGCTAATTTCAACAACCTACAATTAGAAAGCTTTGAAGGAAATAACATTCCAGTTAACATGTTGGTGAACTCCTTGCTGGACAAACCTGCTGCAAAACAAACCTGCATTTTCAGGAATTCTTTATACAAAACCAAACACAAGGTTTTGTCTGAGACATTCACCTGCAAAAGGTATGTGTTTGTATTTTGTTATCACTATAGTAACATGCCCTCTGCGACAGTATCATTTTCCCCACATATTAGGAGGTGAATTTTACATACAATATACCTAATATTTACAGTTGCAATATACTTGCATGAAGAAAGCTGTGGTGACTACAGCAGTTCCTACTCATCCTCAAATGAGGAACTGAATTAAGTTGCCAGCACCTCATTTACAATTCCTCTTCCATTTCTCAGGGAAAAATCTGTAACTGTCAAGTTAATGAGCTGTGAATGAATCTTAAACTTGCTGTGCATTGCACACATCTTCCACAAATGTTAATTCTATGAACCCCAACAATCCTCAGCGATTTCATTCTGATACAAACTGGCTTCATTCTTGCCACAAACACGCTTAGACTGTTAATGAAGTACATTGGTAATGACAGAAGTTCTGCACATCTCAGTCTCATCTCCCTGTTGTTGATACTGTTTGCACTTATACTCCAGTAAAAGATTAAACTGCTTTCTTTCAGAATGACTAAACCAGCATCTTCATAATCCATTACACTGCAGCACTCAAACCCCATGCATAATGAACTGCAGAAAAGGAACTCATGTTCCAAAAAGCTTAATTATACTGGAATACTTAAATAGTCACTACAGAAGTAGTGCACCTTCAAGTCAATATATATGCCTTTAAGTCCCACAGGAGGTTAGTTATTTGTCCAGAACAGGCATGCACTGTTTTATTATTAGCTCTGTAGTCACTCTGCAAGTGGTAGGATGGATGGATTGACAAACAGTTGAATTAGTATTTCATTCAGTGACATTTTCTGTAGATACCACATCCATCCTCACGCTCACCCCACCTCTATTTTTTCAGGGCTTTACCAGTTTCAGACAGAATTTAACGAATGCATTTCATGTTTAAAACCAAACCAAACAAAAAAACCAAACCACAGTAGCTTACCAGCTGGAGAAACATGAGGACAACTGCTCATTTTGAGCAGTTTGAGAGTGTCGCTGTTGTTAGCCACTAGCACTTTGAGAGATGGATCATCTACTGGTGTATCGTCAATCTTAAGTGAAGAGAGGGATTTGGAGTTTACGAACACCACTGTCAGTGCAGAGATAAAGTGAGACTGGAAAAAAAGAGCACAAAGGAAAAACTAGTACCTAAAATAAACATCTCAATGGTTTTACACTGTGCACAGCAGTCCTAGTTTTATTTTACTTACTGACAACATTTTCTGGAAAAGCATTCCTTTGATATTGCATAATTAAAAACTAATATTAAATTTTACATATTTTTGAGTAGAGAAAATATAATAACTTTTTGCTATCAGTCCATTTATTTGGCAAATCAGAATGTCTAACAATAAACATAAATCAAGAACCTGGCCCAAGATAATCCACTACACAAACCTAAATCTATAGGAAGACCACGAGTGAAGAGAAAGCCTACAAGCCCTAATTTTGAGGGCAACTTGCAAGTCACACTTGAAAAGAAGCATCTTTGAACAGGAATTCCCACATGGCAAATTATGCTGCACTGGTGAGATGCAAACACAGTCAAGACTGGCAACCCTACCTATACTGTTAAGATGTGTCCAAAGCCAAATACTACTACTGCCTGCCTATCATCCAGACAAGAGAATTCAGGGTCTGAATGGATTTGTCTTGGAAAGCAGAGTGGTGCAGTCTAAACAGAGCCAAGGAGCAGATGATCAATTAATTATGGATTACGCAGCAAGTATAATGGGGGTCCAGGGGCCCAGGTTGTTGTTCTTCAGCATTTCTATGTAACCACTGAAATTTCCAAGGCAGAGCACCTGAACTTGAGAAACACAGACTATGGAGCAGATGCAGCAGTGCTTGTAGAAATCATTGATGGTATAAAGGAAGCAAATAATAAGCTTATCTTCATGATTTCTTACAGGATTTACTGAACAGAAGACTTAAAAAAGTACTTCCTCCATGCACCAAATTAAGTATCCCATAAAATTACCTGCTACTTTGACTTCAATATGGTTTCACTGTGAGCCACATGCACTTACAGAATCCTGAATAGAGTTATGTGAAATAAGGCCTGGCAACAGTATTAGCTCATTCTTATCTGATATGTGTGTGGGTTTTGGTAAAACTCACACACACTCAGATTTAGAGCAGGAATTAATATTTTCACATTAACATAAACTGTCAAAATCAGCTAATGCAAATGGAAACAGAAAGTTCAAATCAGAAGTATTAGGCATTTTGGCTTTAGGGACCACTCCCAGCTGTACTGACAACATACTGATTATATATGTTATGTACAGAAGAAAAAAGTGCTTTAATATTTCCACTCTGTATTCTGAAAGTGTTGGTACTGTGGTTTTATTCTCTGCATTTAGAATGTAATTCCCTTCACTAAGAAGGCTGTTAAATAGAAAAGCAAAGGAAGTTAACCATCTTCACACAAAGAGGAAACCATACAGTTTGAAGCACTAATGAAGACGGGCAATATACTGAAGTGGAAAATCTGTAGATTCAATGTCTTTTCAATATTGCCACGTATGTATCCCATAGTAAGATTCTTTAAAAGATTCATGTAGAATATGCTTAGTGAAAAGACTACACAACACAATGCTAAATAGGATTTACAAATATTTGCCAGATGTCACATCACTTGAAATCAGAAAAGTACCAATGGAAGTAATGCAAAGTAGTTCAGACTTCCAATACAGTCTGATAAAACAAAAATGAAACGTGTGGTGTTACCCATTTTTCAGATGCAATCGTCTTTGCCTGTTACTAACAGCTTCCCATAAGAACTTATTAATAGTCCAATTCATTAGTGGACTAGGAAAATTTAAAAAGCATTGCTGGTCCCGTATGCTGGTGACAACGTTACTGGTGCAGTGAACATCAAAAGACAAATTATGTCTAGAGCTGATTTTGGCTTATTTTCAATATATTTTTTAAAGGCCATATGTGAACCAATTCAGCACAATAAAATAGCAACCCTGTATCTTAGAAGCCTTGAACTGAATACGACCATAGCATGAATAACTGCAAATAATTATTCAGCAAGCTAAGATCATAACATATCCCTCCAGTGAAAACTAAGACAGACAGCTAAAACAGCATTCAGACTAAGAAATAAAGTAAGAATCAAGAGCTGAAAGGAGAAAATATTTCTAACAGTGGTTTCGCCATGTTCAGGTTTTCTTACAGTCACTTCTCAAAGCAGATCAAAAAAGAGAAAAAAGCGTAGAAAAAAATAGCTAAAATCTGGAAATCCCCTTTGAAAATTAAGGATTAAAAATACATATTCAAGAGAACTACATGGCTGTGATCACTGCCAAGGACAGTAATTGATAATCCTTCTGTAACTAACCTTGCTTAAGCCCTATAACCTACTTCCTTTCCTGAGGCTGTCGCTAGTTCTTCCTTATCCTTGTTGCCATCATCAGCAATGACGTCACTGAGATCCAGCTAATAGTCTAGCTCTGTGTGGCCCTTCACACGCATGTGAGACTGGATTCAAGAACTGAGGCTGTTAGACATCTAAGGTATCACTGTCATAGAATAAGCAGTCCAGGTTACCCCAACCACTCTCCTGCTCCTCAGCAATAGCACACTTCTACCTCACTAGCAGGAATTCTTGTTTAGAAACACATGTAAGAGATTCATTGTCATCTATAGTAGATGCATTTTAACCAAACCTGTTAAAAAACATGTTTTGGTAAATATGCAAGGTAAAAATCTGACAGAAAATTTCAGAAATACAGTGTACTTTGCCTAAGAATCTGACACTTGACTGTGTGACATGAAGTACTGAAAATCACAATCATATGGCTTTCTAAAGAGAGCTCATTGAACATATAATCCCTACAGTAAGTCCACATGGATAAAACTCTACCATTCATTTAACTGAAACAGTCTCCTAAACATCCCCACAGTCCCACAGTATAATTATACAGACACAAATCATCTACCCTCCTGACTTGCATCATGTTGCTCAGTATTACATTGAGGTCAATAGATAAAAGGACCTGGAAGAACAAAGTCAGAACTAAGTTCTCACATGATGCAGAGAATGAGTGAAACTTTAGTTATCCATCTTAGTACAACATCTCAGTTCCTCCCTTTAATAGAGCTCAATAATAAAGCTTTCTTTAACTGAAGATGCATATTCTTACAATTAGGTTTTTCATAAAGTTGTAGGAATACTGCATGGAACACTGACATACTTTGCTATAAAAAAAATATATGTATAAAAATACCTTTGGTAAATCCATGAAGCTTGGCCGTGCAGTTGAAATTAACCCAAGTGTTTTCAGAGAGCAATTCACAAGCTGTGATAAAATATCACAAGCCGCTTCTGCAGATTCTTTGCTACTGTCCACCTTAAAACAAAACAGATTTATTGCTCAGAAAACATTGCATCAAACACTCTTTACAAAAAGCAAAGTAGAGCAGATACACTTTAATGTCTTTTTTTCACTTTACAGAACATGGGTTTGATCAAGTCTACCATAAGCCATGCTAGCTTGCCAGCAACTGATCCAAGTACCAATGAATGTCCATTTTCTGCTTGAACACAAGCTGAAAAGCCTCATTTCAACAATTCAATCTTTCTTTGCCTAGAAAAAAACCCCTCACGTTTTCAGCCTTGACAGAGTAACACTCAGTATTACATTCACTTACTTGTGATTACCCTTGCTACTTAGTATTCCCTGTGATCTAGTGTTGATTCTACAACACTGAAGAACTGAAGGGACACATTTAAGAAATTTTGTGGGTATTTACCCTACCAGTGAAGGGCATCTGAATCCTTCAAAATCACTTGGTGCAAAGCAATACAGACAGGAGATAGCTCTGGAAGGTCATTTCAATACTGCCATAAATATTCTTTACTTGGACACTGATAAAAGCCCTGCAAATCTTGTGGTAACAGTTTGTATCTGGTATTGCATGAAGTAGTAATAAACATGATCAGGTAGAGGTTGGTAATCCCAGCTACCAACATGCTTGTGATTCCTACATTAAAAGTGCCAGATCCCAGAAACAAACCACCAGTATGTCCATTTGGCTGCAGAAGTAATTTCTTTTCCAAATTTGTCACTTTGCTGATGCATACACAGCCATGACTGTTTCACAGCACTCTTCCAAAACAGCGACATGCAGGCCAATGTTAAAGGTTTTTGTCTGCTGAAAATAATTCCATGATTTCAAAGACAGTTCTTGGCCAAGCACCATCCTGTGCAAATCCCACAGTTTTCCAGTTAACTGAAATGCAGCTGTGCCGAGTAGATGCCGCACACAGACAACCCCATTCAATTTAGTACTAAAACTGCTAGTTGCTTATTAGTAGTACTGAAGTAGCTCTCTGTACATTAGATTTTTTCTACCATGAATATCAGACCCAGCTCCCTAGAGGATGTGAAACGGGAAAACACTCAATTTATGCATCCTGATGAAACATAATTCTGAGGCAGGTACGCAGATGTACAGTAGTATCAGAACTGAAGTGTTTCTTCCCAGTCATTGAGGCAGAATTCTAAACAGCTAAGATGTTGCAAGAAAAAACAAAAAATCAAGCACCAAACAAGAAACTCCCCACCTAACTGAATTAAAGCAATGAAAAGTTATGCTCAGAACTGCTATTACAAGTTTTGGTCCTGAAAACATATCCAAATAAAACAAATGAATTGGGAGGTAACCTCCATGTCTATATATGCCCATTCAGAGAACCTGTTTCTGCAGTATACTAGGCCTCAAAACAAGGTCTACCACACTGAGACCTGCTGTTTTTCTTTTGAAATAACTGACAATCCTAACCACAAAAATAACATCATAAGCCTTTCTTAAAATTCAGTGATGTTCTTAATTTTCAACGCATTAAAATGTTCTGATCACAACTGTCAATTACCCCTTATCATCAGTTTTCTAATTACTGGCATAAACCATATGTCTCATGCTTTGGTATTTGTTAGAGATGAACCATCAAAACTGTCTCAAAATTACTGGAGATGTTTCTTTAAAGCACTCTGAATAAAATGCAGGGATAAAAAAAGAACCAAGTTTAACAAATGCTTTTATTTTCATAAAAATTGTTTAAAAGCCTATAGGATACACTACCTTGAAGCTTACATACTGCAGGTGATTGGAATGCCTCTTTATTATTTGCTTGATTAGTTCAGGATGTGTAGCCCTCAAGTAAGATGTAGCTGGTTGATTCAGTTCAAACTCAAAACATCTCCAGAGATCAGGCATATGAAACACTTGGTTCCAGCTTCGGCAGACCTGTGATGCATGAGCACGATCCAGAAGGGGCAAGTACTGGAACACCTGTAGGATAATGTCTTGAAGCAGGTTCGCCCAGTCTGGACTCTGCACAACTATGGTTTTCTCGTCTGTGACCTTGTGTCTCTTGGATTCTTTCTCAGTTGTCTCTTCAGATGAACTGCTGTTGGCCTCAGTAGTTTTCCTTCCTCGTTTCATTCTATAAAAATAATAATAATAAAAAAAATCTACACATTTTGTAAATGTAACAGTATGAATAAAAAAGTGATGAGGTGAAAAGGTATGCTTTCTGTAACGACACTTTTGCAGGTTTCTTTTTCCTCCCTTATACAGAGAAGACAAAAAGAAACAAAAAAAAACCCACTCAAACCAACCCACAAGTAACAATGATTTTGAAGTGGCAGTCCAAAAATAACAAGGAAGGGAAATGTCAGGCAAGAAAGTAAGTAACAAGTGCGTGCATGTTTGCAGGCACTGCATCTTGCAGAAATTCTACCTATCAAGTTCATATTTATTCCCAGAAAGAACGTTTATTTATTTTTAAAAAGGTTACTTCGATATGCACCTATTTTAAATCAGTACCCTTAAAAACATATTTCATCAAGAACGTTGGTGTGCTTCCAGTTTTCCATCTAACTAATAAACAGGGATTATGAAAGATTTCCAGTAACAGTCTGCAAGCTGCAACCCACAAAAAAAAAAAAAAAAAAAAAAAAGTTTACAAAAGAGTGGGAAAACTTTCTTCAAAATTGTATTAAATACAAGCCTGAGGCAAAAGGTTATCTCATTCTCAAGAGCATCCGTAGTACATACCTTATATTACATTATTAAAGAGGAAAAAAATCCCACCACTACATAGATCTGAAATAAATCTAGCGTTGCATTTTGATCAAATTGTGTTCTTTTATACATGCCAGCTTCCAACAGAACTTGCTGCCAACTATGTATTTTAAAAAGCCTCAATGCAATGCATACCATGTCCTAAAGGCTGACGAATGAGCCCTCACACTAAACTACAATACATTCAACTCTAGTCTCTAAAAAGCTGAGAGAATCCAGGGGAGGGGTGGGCTTGACATGTATAAACACCTCCCAAGCCCCCACGATTTCTGCAAGATAAACATGTACTTCATACATACTAAAATCATTCTGGTTTAACATTCAAATACAATTACATGTATAAGATCATCACATCCCAGTCCATGGGGGACCTGAACACTTAACTTTCCTCGCTATGTACTGCAACTAAGTATTCAGAAGTCTTTTTTAAACCAAAGTGTAATAGATATACAACTGAAAAATTACAGTGTTTATCATCCAGTGCATCACAGGTTATTTTCTCAAAGCCAGCATCTCCTTACCTATCTTTAAAGCACTTTAACCTTACCTACTCACATGACAAAAGCAAACTGTCACTTAAGGTCTGAAGCTATTCACGAAAGGATGTAAACAAACTCGAACATACTGTCCTGAAAGACTGATGAACAGAATTTGTCTTTTGATTTTCTTCAACTTCATTTTTTAATCCCAGTGGCACTTAAGGGCAAGCATAAGATGAAAACACTACTGGGCAAAAATCTCTACATTTACTGTGATTCACAGCTCATGACTATGAGACGATGCAAAACACAACTCCTGTGCTGAAACAAGCAGAAAGTTCTGCTGCTGAGCCACTAACTTCACTGGTACAGAAGAAAAGCAAGAAAACTGAATAGTAACTTAGAACCATCTGCAACTAGCAAAAAGATGAAGGAACTGGATTTTGAAACTGTTGAAATCGAAAAAATAAACCTAAACCTAATCAAGAATTAGACGTGCAAATCCACTGCAAACCTGCCACGTTTGTCTTTGAGACAACTAGTAAGCACAGTCCCAGAATATTATTTGTAATAAACTAGTCTGAAATGCAACATTCCTTTAAACTTTAGGCTAAACAGATATTCCTAACAACTAGGTTATAACAAGCAATTACCATGTGCAAGCTATTCGCTTGCCAGATTTGGGATGGTTGATGTCTTTAAGTCTTTCCAAAGCCATCTCTTGTTAATCTATCAAAAACTACACAAGGTAACTGTTAGAATTTGCATTCCAAGTCCTCCTTTACAGAGATCCTGCCTTACCTTTTGCTAATAAGGTAATACATGTGCGTGAACTTCCTAGTTAGGTAGGCTGCTTTTATCCCTGCTTTAGGGGGGCAAGTTCTGTATTTTCTCCCTTATCACATTCTAGGGGCTATTGTGCATGTACAGTAGAGCCGATTCACACACGCAGCATGTTCACTGTAACTGATCTTTTCAAAGACAAGAGTGCTAGATCTGACACCTTTTTTATTTTCTTCCGAAAAGACCGGGAGTGAGCTGCCACTGACAAAAACTGTGACTCTCTGTGAATTTTTCAGCTGGAAAATGAACTTCTGAGAGATGGCTGACAGAAGTGGCCCAGGTCATCCACAGCCAACTTACAAGTTGCACTTCTGAGCTAACTTGGATGACTTCTAAAGTAGTTAATATATGGTGGTTACAGATTAAAACCCACTCTTGACGTTGTGGGGTACTATCCCCAGTTTTTACAGCTAGCCAACATAGAAAAAAGGCAATTCTGCCATCACGACAGCCATACTGATGATGGATTTCAGGTCACAGTCTTCCAAAAAAATAAGATGCTATGTGCTTTAAGTGCCATGGCTTGAAAAGCAGGAGATGGGAAAATACATCTCCAGACAAGTTTTTTGTTACTGACATCTCGAATGCTCCTGTAATTGGAAAGAGTAGTAATAAATTTTTAAAAGTATTTCCTTGTGGAACCTCTTTCCAAAGAGAGAAAAAAAGTCTAAGCTCAAGACTAAAAAATATTACTTAAAGAATTGACTGTTTTATGATCTAATTTCTTATTAATTTGTTCATCTAATTTTTGTCATCTTGTTTCAGAATTTGAAGTATTAGAATAGCTTTTTAAAAACATAACTGGTTTCAACTTCTTAACATGCCTAACAATAAAACAAATGCAAAATTGAAAGAATGCAGATGTGTCTACAGAAGTTTCTGGAGTCATATAATAAAAAAAAAAAAAAAAAAAGAAAAAAAACCAAACAAAAAAACCCCAAAACAGTTGAAAGGTTAAAAGAATAAACCTTTCTGCAAATTTAATGTAGGAAGAAGCAAATGTAATCAGGCAGTTCAGTTCACTTTGTTTTATGTATCTGATAGTCTAAAGATGTAACCATTTTAAATCCAAGGCCAATGGAAATAACTTTCCAGTGAGGAAGACGGTGATGCTGGCATTCTACACTGGTTGTATAGGCACAACCAATTTTCCAAACACTGACTGCTTATCACTTCCTATAAATGCTTGAACCATCAATCCTGCTTTTAACTCTCTCAGACGTACGCAGGAGACACTTCATCGGTGATCAGTTTTACCACGTTGCTGCTATAATCAACTTTGCTTTAAAATCTCAGGAAAGCCAAAAAGCCAGGAATACCCAACTCTGCCAGGACAGAAAGATGAGTGAAATCAGGATGCACGAATCTTTAAGACATTCCAAGCTACTACAACAACTTGTTTCAGAACTCGGTGTTCTGAACTCCGCACCTGGGTGCAACCCACACTATCTTGTTTGCAATACAGTCATGTTCAACCATAATCACACAGTTCAGTCACCAAGTAGGAGGAGCAAAGCACATGCTTAACATTGTTTTTATTGCCGAGTGAGGTGCAGACAGGATAGTTCCATAAAAAGAAAAAAAAACAAACAAAAAACCTCAAACAAAACCCAAAACAAACAAACAAACCAAAACAAACAAACAAAAAAAAGTCAAAACCAACGAAACCGAAACACCAAAAATCCCCTAAAAATACAAACCAAACCCCAAGCAACTGCGCACGGCTGTTTACACCTACTACTAACGCTTTCCCACGAACAACCCTAACTGAGCTCGTGGTGTTGCTTTACACTTGAAGTAAAGCTGTTCCAGAAATAAAAGGAGTGCGTTAATGGGGAGAACAGACTTAAAGACCCCTAATCGCCAAGAACGACTAGTTCTGCTGGAAACGACGAGGGTTTCACAATTTACTACTGTTATCATGAGAAGGCTGCGAGGCAGCGACACCCTATAAATACGAACGGCTGCGCCTTAAGCCCCGCTACTCCCGGAGAAGCTTCACCTCAGGGTCAGCTCCTTCCGGCTCGGCCCCAGCCTGCGGGGGCTCCACTCCCGGGCAGG